CGGCCGCCCAACAACCTGCCCGCTTGACCCTATTCCCTCCTCTCTTCTCCAGACCATCTCCGGTAACCTTCTTCCTTACCTCACCTCGCTGATCAACTCATCCTTGACCACTGGCTATGTCCCTTCCGTCTTCAAGAGATAGAGAGTTGCACCCCTTCTCAAAAAACCAACACTCGATCCTTTTGATGTCAACAACTACAGACCAGTATCCCTTCTTTCTTTTCTCTCCAAAACTCTTGAGCGTGCCGTCTTTAGCCAACTCTCTTGCTATCTCTCTCAGAATGACCTTCTTGATCCAAACCAGTCAGGTTTCAAGACTGGTCATTCAACTGAGACTGCTCTTCTCTGTGTCACGGAGGCTCTCCGCACTGCTAAAGCTAACTCTCTCTCCTCTGCTCTTGTCCTTCTAGACCTGTCTGCTGCCTTTGATACTGTGAACCATCAGATCCTCCTCTCCACCCTCTCCGAGCTGGGCATCTCCGGCGCGGCTCACTCTTGTATTGCGTCCTACCTGACCGGTCGCTCCTACAAAGTGGCGTGGCGAGAAGCTGTCTCCGCACCACGTGCTCTCACCACTGGTGTCCCCCAGGGCTCAGTTCTAGGCCCTCTCCTATTCTCGCTATACACCAAGTCACTTGGCTCTGTCATATCCTCACATGGCCTCTCCTATCATTGCTACGCAGACGACACACAACTAATCTTCTCCTTTCCCCCTTCTGATAACCAGGTGGCAAATCGCATCTCTGCATGTCTGGCCGACATATCAGTATGGATGACGGATCACCACCTCAAGCTGAACCTTGGCAAGACGGAGCTGCTCTTCCTCCCGGGGAAGGACTGCCCGTTCCATGATCTCGCCATCACGGTTGACAACTCCGTTGTGTCCTCCTCCCAGAGTGCGAAGAGCCTTGGCGTGACCCTGGACAACACCCTGTCCTTCTCCGCTAACATCAAGGCGGTGACCCGATCCTGTAGGTTCATGCTCTACAACATTCGGAGAGTACGACCCTGCCTTACACAGGAAGCGGCACAGGTCCTAATCCAGGCACTTGTCATCTCCCGTCTGGATTACTGCAACTCGCTGTTGGCTGGGCTCCCTGCCTGTGCCATTAAACCCCTACAACTCATCCAGAATGCTGCAGCCCGTCTGGTGTTCAACTTTCCCAAGTTCTCTCACGTCACCCCGCTCCTCCGCACACTCCACTGGCTTCCAGTTGAAGCTCGCATCTGCTACAAGACCATGGTGCTTGCCTACGGAGCTGTGAGGGGAACGGCACCTCCGTACCTTCAGGCTCTGATCAGTCCCTACACCCAAACGAGGGCATTGCGTTCATCCACCTCTGGCCTGCTGGCTCCCCTACCTCTGCGGAAGCACAGTTCCCGCTCAACCCAGTCAAAACTGTTCGCTGCTCTGGCACCCCAATGGTGGAACAAGCTCCCTCACGACGCCAGGACAGCGGAGTCACTCACCACCTTCCGGAGACATTTGAAACCCCACCTCTTTAAGGAATACCTGGGATAGGATAAAGTAATCCTTCTATCCCCCCCTTACCCCACCCCCCCCCCCCCCCCCCCCCCCCCAAAAAAAAAAACATTGTAAAGTGGTCATCCCACTGGCTATAAGGTGAATGCACCAATGTGTAAGTCGCTCTGGATAAGAGCGTCTGCTAAATGACGTAAATGTAAATGTATAAAAGACACCTGGGAGCCAGAAATCTTTCTGATTGAGAGGGGGTCAAATACTTATTTCCCTCATTAAAATGCAAATCAATTTATAACATTTTGACATGCGTTTTTCTGGATTTTTTTGTTGTTATTCTGTCTCTCACTGTTCAAATAAACCTAACATAAAAATTATAGACGGATCATTTCTTTGTCAGTGGGCAAACGTACAAAATCAGCAGGCGATCAAATACTTTTTTCCCTCACTGTAAGACAACAACATAGCATGGCAGCAACACATGACAACAAAGCATGGTAGCAACACCACATGACAACAACATTGTTGCAACACAACATGGCAGCAGCACAACATGGTAGCAGCACAAAACATGGTACAAACATTATTGGGCACAGGCAATGGCACAAAGGCAAGAAGGTAGAGACAACAATACATCACGAGAAGCAGCCACAACTGTCAGTAAGAGTGTCTTTGAATTAAGAGATGGAGAAAAAACTGTCCAGTTTGAGTGTTTTTTGCAGCTCGTTCCAGTCGATAGCTGCAGCGAACAGAAAAGAGAAGCGGCCCAGGGATGTGTGTGCTTTGGGGACCTTTAACATAATGTGACTGGCAGAACGGGTGTTGTATGTGGAGGATGAGGGCTGCAGTAGGTATCTCAGATAGGGGGGAGTGAGGCCTAAGAGGGTTTTATAAATAAGCATCAAGCAGTGGGTCTTGCGACGGGTATACAGAGATGACCAGGTAACAGAGGAGTATAGAGTGCAGTGATATGTCCTATAAGGAGCATTGGTGGCAAATCCGATGACCGAATGGTAAAGAACATCTAGCCCCTCGAGAGCACCCTTACCTGCCGATCTATAAATTACGTCTCCGTAATCTAGCATGGGTAGGATGGTCCTCTGAATCAGGGTTAGTTTGGCTGCTGGGGTGAAAGAGGCCTAGATTTAACCTTAGCCTGCAGCTTTGATATGTGCTGAGAGAAGGACAGTGTACTGTCTGGCCATACTCCAAAGTACTTGTATGAGGCGACTACCTCAAGCTCTAAACCCTCAGAGGTAGTAATCACACCGGTATGGAGAGGGGCATTCTTCTTACCAAACCACATGACCTTTGTTTTGGAGGTGTTCAGAACAAGGTTAAGGGCAGAGAAAGCTTGTTGGACACTAAGAAAGCTTTGTTGTAGAGCGTTTAACACAAAATCCGGGGAGGTGCCAGCTGAGCATAAGACTATCATCTGCATATAAATGGATGAGAGAGCTTCCTACTACCTGAGCTATGTTGTTGATGTAAATTGAGAAAAGGGTGGGGCATAGGATCTGACTTTATACACTGCACTCTTTGAGAGAGGTGGTTAGCAAACCAGGCCAAAGAACCCTCAGAGATACCAATACTCCTTAGCCAGGCCCACAAGAATGGAATGGTCAATAGAAATAGCAGCACACCATTGCTTAGAATCAAGGGCAATGGTGACATCATTTAGGACCTTTTAAGGTTGCAGTGACACATCCATAACCTGAGCGGAAACCAGATTGCATACCAGAGAGAATACTATAGACATCAAGAAAGCCAGTCAGTTGATTATTGACAAGTTTTTCCAACACTTTTGATAAACACGGCAAAATAGAAATTGGCCTATAACAGTTAGGATCAGCTTGATCTCTCCCTTTAAATAAAGGATGCACCATGGCTGCCTTCCAAGCAATGGGAACCTCCCCAGAGAGGAGACACAGGTTAAAAAGGTCAGAGATAGACTTGGCGATGATAGGTGCTGCAACCTTGAAGAAGAAAGGATCTAAACCATCTGACCCTGGGGGTCAAGTTTAAGGAGCTCCTTTATCACCTCAGACTCAGTGATTGCCTGCAGGGAGAAACTTTATAGCGGGGCAGGGGGGCGAAAGGGGAGGAGAATCGGGGCTAGTCGCATTAGAAGGGGTGGGAGATGAGGAAATGTTGGACGGGCAATGATGCATGGCGGAGTTAAATAGGAATCCTGACTTAATGAAGTGGTGATTAAAGAGCTCAGCCATGTGCTCCTTGTCAGTAACAACCACATCATCAACATTAAGGGACATGGGCAGCTGTGAGGAGGAGGATTTATTCTCCAGGTCTTTAACCGTTTTCCAGAACTTCTTGGGGTTAGACCCACAGAGAGAGAACTGCTCCTTAAAGTAACTAACTTTGGACTTCCGGATAGCCTGAGTGCACTTATTTCTCATTTGCCTGAATGAGAGCCAGTCAGCCTGAGTATGCATGTTTTACTTTTTATTTTTTACTTTAGTTTATTTAGTAAATATTTTCTTAACTCTATTTCTTGAACTGAATTGTTGGTTAAGGGCTTGTAAGTAAGCATTTCACGGTAAGGTACCTGTTGTATTCCGCGCATGTGACAATTATTTTTATTTTTATCTTTATTTTAACAGGGGAAAAACAGACTGAGACCTGGATCTCTTTTACGGCTGTGCCCTGTGTAAACATGTTGACATGTACAGTTTTAGACATACAGACAAAAACATTTTAAACATACAAAACAAAAACACAATTCAACAGAAACAATCACAAACAACATCATATTGATCCTCCAGAATATTTTTAAAATGGGCAAGGGACACCAGAGCGTCTAACTTAAGTTGGATCTGCAGTTTGTTCCATAAATAAGGTGCAAAGGAACTGAAGGCAGTCCTACCCAACTCTGTGGAGACCACAGGAGTCTCTAATGTAATCCATATCTGTGATCTGGTTTTAAAATTAGTATATCTAGTGGAAATTAATGATGATATATATGGAGGTAGTTTTAAAATAAGTGCTTTATAAATAAACAAGAGAGCATGTTGCTCTCGCCTCACAGATAGAGAGGCCCAACCCACATGTTGATATAGGATACAGTGATGAGTTTTGTAACTATCACCCGTGATAAACCTGAGTGCACAATGGTAAATAGCATCCAGTGGTTTTAATGTGTTTGCTGATGCATGCATATAGATAATATCACCATAATCTAAAACGGACATAAAAGTAGCCTGCACAATTTGTTTTCTATTTACGGAGGACAGACAAGCCCTGTTTCTGTTTCTATCTTGAATTTGAGTTTTTTTCCCAATTCAGTAACATGTTTTTTAAAAGAAAGCCTATCATCTAACCATAACATTTGATTTGATTTTACTTGCTATTATCACTAGTAGCATGAGTAAAACATGTCACATTTTAATTGAAACGAATACAATCGATTTTTTTATTGATATATAGAAACATAGATGGTTGATAGAAACAACATTGAAAACGCTGTGATTGTACATTTTCCCCCCATTGTTCCAATAAAGGTGCTAACGAATGACGTCTGATGTCGTAAATCCCAGCATCCGGGAATCTTATTAAATACGGCTTCGGGCATGCGCAGTTGTTCCTCAGCGGTTCGACCTCTGCAGCTGGTAAGTGAAGGGGAGGCAAATGGAGGTCTGCGCTGAAACATTTTCACAATCGATTTTCATCTTCTATCTAAAGTCGTTTTGATTCCACACCGACACAAATTATGTAAAGACAGTTGTTTTGCTCATATAATATTTTTGTATGGATTCGCTGTTTCTTTGAATTTGTAGTGAAATTCTCATTGACCTTAGCTGCTGTTCTCTCTTTTTTAGAGAGAAAACCAGGTGACTCGTCTTTAGTTGATTGTATCAGTCAACACATTAAACCAGTATGTACGCCTGTGCGAAATTCGTCTCTACACCTGCACTGGTGAGTTGTGAAAGTAAAGATACATTTAAGTTGTCATAGCATAATGTTAACTAGGTAAGTTAGATGGGCCTGCTGAACTTGTACTGATTTGTGACTTAGGAACTGCTCTAACGTTTCAGTGCATGCAATTGTGCACACTGAATTGCAAGTAAATTGGTTTGAAATGTATTAATTGAAATCAACATAGCTAACTAACGTTTTTATTTTTTTATTTTAAACCTGCTCTTGGAAAATACCTATTTTCACCTAAGTTAGGTAGCTAGTTTTAGCTATGCTTACGTTAGGTTGCTAACCATTGCTCGTTAGCTAGCTAATGAGCCAGTGAGTCTTCTTTGTAATTTCAAGGTCATGCAGAAATGAAGCACCAAAGACTGCATTCTGAAATACGAAGGGCTTCATTTGGCTATGTGCATTTGCTGCTAATGTCAATCCTAGTTGTGCACTTTGCCAGATTGGCGTTTGTGTATTTTGGGCCCTGGCACTCCATCTTGATCCAGTAATGCCCTCTGAGTTGACCATCTAGGACATCTGAAAGGACTTGATGGTTCAGTTGAGGCAGATATTTGGAACTGAACATTGCTGTGCTTCCATGCATTTGTCATGTTTAACAGCACATTCTCCTCTGGGGGATCTCTGTAGCTTGCTAGCAGTTTTGAGCAAGGTAGTTGTTATGTATCATGTGGTACTGCCCACACCTGACCATTGGTCAGTGGTGATGTATGACTGATTGTCCATGTGTCCCCCTGCGACTCAGTTTTCAAATGTATATTTTTTGGGGTGTGTGTTTGTAATCAAATTGATGTTATGGAAGTTACATCACTTAACATTACTGTTTTTCCGTGTACAGGTCCGTGCTGGATCCAGGGCCTTATACAGACCTCTCTCTGCGTCTGTGCTTTCACGGCCGGATGTTAGAACAGGAGAGGTGAGTGTCTACCTGCCCCTTTACCCTTTAGTCCCCTTACCCCAGGAACAACATTAACTTCTATCGGCAACTGATGCTACTTTTCAGTCTAGATTTCTTCCCTAGGTAAAATGTTGCATAAGAAAAAAATAACTCTGCTTTCTTCCAAATGATAATGGGGTCCCTCTGCAATGATCTGAATGTTGTCTTAATCTTAAATGTTTGTAATATTTATCTTCAAGCTGTTTTTATGGTGAATTGGTTCATTTTAGTGACTTTTTTTTGTATTTCTCCCAGGCTAGCACTGCCCTTGTGCCACAGAGTGCCTTTTCCCAGGTAGCACTGAGGGGTTTCCAGACTAGCGCTGTGAGCAGAGACATTGACACAGCAGCCAAGTTCATTGGCGCTGGAGCTGCCACAGTTGGAGTAGCTGGTTCTGGTGCCGGAATCGGGACTGTGTTCGGCAGCCTTATTATCGGATACGCAAGGTAAATATTGCCATTAGTAGATATGGTGCCCTACTTTATTACATTTACATTTTAGTCATTTAGCAGACGCTCTTATCCAGAGCGATTTACAGTTAGTGAGTGCATACATTTATGCCCTCAATTATGTGACTCTTTGTTGATTTTCTGATGTTTTTTTGACACTGTTTGCAAAAATGTTAAACAATTGCTATGGCTGCAAGTCTCTCCCACAGCTTTGGTTCATGGCACTAACACTTATTTTTATTTGTTTCCTCCCTAGGAACCCCTCCCTAAAGCAGCAGCTTTTCTCCTATGCTATCCTGGGATTTGCCCTGTCTGAAGCCATGGGTCTGTTCTGCTTGATGGTTGCTTTCCTGATCCTGTTTGCCATGTAAATATGTCCACTGCAGATGGTGATCATGATTTTGAAACTACAGCTGGGACTACCTATTTTACTTGAGCAATCAAAATTGTTCTGTGTTGGTCATGAAATTGTACATTTTCCAAGTTTTTGTTGAAGGCTGACAAAAGAAAAGGCATGTATTGCAAAAATGTAAGCACTTACAGAATTAAAATGCATGTATTTCACTATTTAAAATGTATGAATTATTTTGTGTATAGCCCCATTTCCCTGCAAAACACTTTCAAAGAAGCACCAGATTATGGATTAACAGATGTATTTCTCTATAGTGTGTGCCCTTGAGTTCAAAACAAAGCATATAGTCATGTTAACTGCAGGTTGGTTGCAATCAAGTGGGTTTAAGTAAATTACACTGTACTTTTGGTTATCAAATGCTTTTCTTAATTGCAATAAATCCTGTAGTAATCTTTTACTAGTGTAATACAATGTCCTCTTGCTGTTCCATGAAGATAAATTGTAAAAAAAATTTTTGGGGGGAATATTAATGCAACTGGTTGTATGTGAGTGGATGGGGAGGTGTGCTGCTAAATGGCTCTGGACCTGTCTGATCCTGACCCGTGATGTCACTCTTCATCCCTGTGACTGATGCTGCCTTCCACTGCTCAGCCCATTGACACTACCAAAAAAAAAAAACTGCTTCTGCTCCCATCCTGATTTTTAACTGGTCCTCTGTAGTTCAATTGGTAGAGCATGGCGCTTGTAATGCCAGGGTAGTGGGTTCGATCCCCGGGACCACCCATACGTAAAAATTTATGCACACGTGACTAAGTCGCTTTGGATAAAAACATCTGCTAAATGGTATATTATATTAACTGTTTTTGTTTGTGCTATGTATGTAATTCAGCGCTTAGCTGCCAAGTACAGCCTACATGTGTAATACAACTACTACTATTATTATGATGCCTGGCACAAGGCCTGGGCTTTATCTGGCTATCCTGCTTCTCATGACTTTGCTCTACAAGATCGAGTTGGTAGCACACACACCTTCCATGATAGAATTGGTAGATCGGTGGCACAGGAACTAGTGCGCTTGCCTCTGCACTGCAGGCTCTATGAATCGATAGCTCAAACATTGCCTACTTGCAGAGCCGAATTTGCTGTTAGATTTCCATTTTGGATGTCCCACTAAAATGAGAATGAAATTACAAGGACGTCTCAATGGTATATTAATCTAATCAGATGTATGGATTCTCTCATCTTCCGCACATGGTGGAATTAAATGAAATTGAGTGGATCTGCCTGGATTGCTGCTGCCCCGGTCCATGCTTTCCGGGATCGTTGGGACTTCCCAACTCTGATGTTACTCCATTGAATTTGAAATGTAAAATGGTACGGGTAGGGTTTTGGGTATGGACATCCCAAGGATTCCGGATAGCACTAACCCTACCCCATCCTTTTCTGAGCAGCATCACATGGTAACCATGGTAATACAACGGCCTAGAATTGAGGCTGATGGTCACGTGATATCACAAGATGGCGAGTTCGTTATGAATACGGCGATGTGGTGTGAGTACAATGTGTTGGGCTCAACTATATTAGCTATGAGCATGCATATGCAACCGGATATATTACATCTTGACTTTATCCTCATTGTAGATAAATGCATGTTTGCATCTACGCCTGTTCCCATTTGGATTTGTTTATTTTTGTCATGAAGTCGACGGCACTACTAGTTGTGACTCACAGTGAGCAAACGCGTTAACGTTATGTGGCTAACGCTAGCAAGCGAGCAAGCCTGGACTGACTGTTATTGTACTAGAAGCGTTTTGATACAGTTTTGAACATGTTTCCTAGTTGCTGAATATTTTCTCGCTAACTAATATTTGTTCACTATATGTCCCTTATCAGCTTTCTAACGGCGGTGGAAGTTGTCAGCTATTTCGCATCAGTTAACGCACCAAGAATGGCTCTAAATGTATTTGGTAAGTTAACTAGCTAGCTAGCTAACTGTTCGCCTCTGCCAGTTTGATACCTCGCTAGTTCCAATACGACCTCAAACGTCAGCTTCCCAGTAATGCATGTGACAGATATGCAGATGTTATGCTATAGAACTGTTGTCAGTGTTTGGCCATCTAGCTACCTTTTTTGGCCTTGTCGGGAGGCCTGTAGAGTTCTTTCGCGTTGGATGAAAACACCGTATTTTGTGTCATAGCAGATTTGTAGATACAATGTTGGCTAACTAACAGTTTAGTCATTATCAACGTTCACGAATTATAGCCTTTTAGGCCATGTTTAAACCCCTTGATCACCAGAGGGCATCACAAGATGGTGAATGACAAACTTTGTCAGCTTGTCTGTGATGATTGGCAAAGTTGCCTTTTCAAGAGGTGTAATAGTAGAAACAAAAAACATTGGCAATTTAGCAACAATGATAGGGGGGATGGTATACAGTTTAGGGTTAGGCATCGACATGTCTGTCACTTTTGGTCCATCTAGGAGAGGGAGAGAAAATACGTAACAGTTAGGGGGCAGGAAATGTGGTGCTTTTCAAGTTTAAGATAGAGCTGATATCCAGGCTGTGGGGGATGAGACGGGAAGCTCTGTGCTTCTGACAGATATCCAGTGTATTCTGTCAGAACACACATGCCATAGTCCTTTCAGGATGTGGGGTGTGGTTGAAAGCAGTCTGTAGTGCAGTAGCTATTTGAAGGTCAGAACATCCTTGTAGTAGCCTAATTGAAATATTTGTAAGTAGTAGCTCTCTTAAAAGGTATCCTACTAACCATTTACACACAATGGTGTCGACCCAAACTGCATGTGCTACAGTAGTGGTACGGTTCAGTATAGAACAGTGGTCATTTGTTGTAAGGATATGTTGCTATGAGCGGAGACAGAGCGACCATACTAACGATGGCGGACGTGTTAGAAGAGTTTAGTGTTCTGCCTCCTTTTTATGTTTATGCTTCCTACACTGCTACGTGGCTGAAGCATGAAAGGAGATCATAACTGTCTCTTGAACTCTGCTCTACGAGTGAAATGACTTAAAAATAATAATAAATGGTACATTACTGCCGGTCCACCACCAACATGGATGGATGTGCGAACTCCCTGGCCCAGATACCACATCTTGGGGCCAGCTGCACCTCTTGTTTTAGCGAGCTGAGCTGCGTAATGTGAAAAGTAAATTCCAAGCCCCCATAAAACAGTTTGGCTTGGCACCATAATGTATACATTTTTAATGTATGCATGCACTTACTTCTCAAGTACAATAAGCCTAAGCTTATCTTGGCCAGGTCGCAGTTGTAAATGAGAACTTGTTCTCAACTGGCTTACCTGGTTAAATAAAGGTAAAAAAAGAAAAAAAAAGAAGCTAATATCAATGTTAGATTTATTGTGAATTTGCATAAAATGCTAATAGCCTACTGCATTAGTTTGGTATTGTTGATTAGGCTAGTCTCATAGTAACTTGCGTCTAGCCTAAAATGAGTAGCCTATATTATTCTCGAAGGCAATTCAGATGTGTTGACGGCCCGCTAGTGTAATACATTTTTTTGTCAAAATATCTTGTCTGTTACTGAATCTGTTTACTTGCTGTAGATGTAGCAAATCAAATTATGCAGGGTGGCTTAATCAACACACTTTAAGTGTAGTGTGATACAATGACCACCTGGTTTCACTGTAAATCAGGAAACAAAGATTTTTGGTAGTCTGTCAATGTTGAGGTTTATTAAGACTTGATATTATGTTCTTCTTTCCTCAGACCATGATGAATACAGGCCGCCAGTGTGGAAATCTTACCGTGAGTATAAATGTATTCTAATGATGAAAATATTGTATCATGTAATCATGATGTTTTACTGACTGTGTTCTGTTTTCGCACCAGTGTATCAGCTCCAGCAGGAGGCACCACATCCACGGCGACTGACCTGCACCTGTGAGGTAAGCAAACAGACACAGAATAGAGACAACTTGGCCACTTAAAAGAATGTCTGCAGATATTCATAACATATTCTCAACCTTACTATAATAGATTATTAAACAAAATGTGTCTGATATGACCATTTTATATCAACTGAAAACAATTTACTGCAACACTTGATGAACTGTGACAATATAGGTCTACGCAGGACACATTTCTTCATTGTGCTCGTGCAGCTTTTTATACCGCACCCACCACTTCCTCCTGTTTTTTTGTCTGACTCCCGCCTGCTCCTGCAAGAACTGGTCCCACCCAACAACAGCACTCCCAAAATGTTATTGGGAGCCCTGGTTCCATCAATTTTGCCACCCTAAGCAATATCAAAATGCACAAAAACAGCCAGAAAAATAGGTTAAATTATCAGATATTCTCACATGGCCCGTTTTTTATATTAGACTATCGCTAGGCTATTATTCGGCTACATATAAGCAAATAGGCTAGAGGTAATTTGAAAGAGATCCAAAGTTAGAGCGAAATAGAATATAGTGGGTATTTGACTTGAGATACGTTTTGCATAATTTTTAGGAGCGGGATGATTTTTCCGGCAGAGACAGATAAATGTGTTATTTTCAGTCAATGTAGTAAACTACACTCACCGGCCAGTTTACCAGGTACATCCACCTAGTACTGGGTCAGATCCCCGCCCCTTTGCCTCCAGAACAGCCTGAATTCTTCGGAGCATTCTACTAGTTGTCGGAAACATTTCACAGAGATGTTGGTCCATGCTGACGCGATGGCATCACGCAGTTGCTGCAGATTGGACGCCAGTACATTCATGCTGCGAACAACCTGTTCCATCTCAAAGATGCTGTATTGGGTTGAGGTCTGGAGACTGCTCAGGCCACTCAAGTAAACTGAACTTGCTGTCATGTTCCAGGCAATGTTTTTCCACTCCTCAATTGTCCAGTGTTGGTGATCGCGTGCCCACTGGAGCTGCTTCTTCTTGTTTTTAGCTGATAGGTGTGGAACCTGGTATAGTCGTCTGCTGCAATAGCCCATCCATTCTCCACACCATTGTTGTACTGCGCCATTATTTGTCTGTTTGTGGCCCGCCTGTTAGCTTGCGTGATTGTTGCCATTCTCTCATCAACAAGCTGTTTTCGCCCACAGGACTGCCACTGACTGGATGTTTTTTGTTTGTCGCACCGTTCTCGGTAAACCCTAGATCAGGGGTACTCAAGTACTATTTGAGAAGGTCCGGTCACACACATTTCCTAGGTTGCAAAGGTCCGGATGGATAATGTGATCTATCGGCGTAGGAACAAACCCCCATTTTACAACCCACGCCACCCCAAACTGTTCACACCACTCTTGCCCCTCTTGTTGACAGAGATAAAATGTAGCAATTTTAAAGCTAGTTTCCCGCAATTCTACACGGGGCAGAGATTTTTTTGTGCTGTTTTTAAAGCTAATTTCCTGCAATTCTACCATATCTTGTGTGTGTTTATATGATACCAGGGGTCGAAGCCCGGTCCGTATTGACCCCGTTCTGGGTCCGGGTCCGCAGTTGAGTATGGAGGCCCTAGATAGACACTGTCATGCTTGAAAAGCCCAGGAGGGCAGCAGTTTCTGAGATACTGGATGCCTGTCTGCCTGCTTTATATAGCAAGCCACGGCCACGTGACTCACTGTCTGTAGGAGCAATCCATTTTCGTGAACGGGGTGGTGTACCTAATAAACTGGCTGGTGAGTGTATTTACATTTGTCATTTAGCATTTACATTTTTGTCATTTAGCAGACGCTCTTATCCAGAGCGACTTACAGTTAGTGAATACATATTTTTTTTTTTATACTGGCCCCCCGTGGGAATCGAACCCACAACCCTGGCGTTGCAAACACCATGCTCTATCAACTGAGCTACATCCCTGCCAGCCATTCCCTCCCCTACCCTGGATGACGCTGGGCCAATTGTGCGCCGCCCATGAGTCTCCCGGTCGCGGCCGGCTGCGACAGAGCCTGGATTCGAACCAGGATCTCTAGTGGCACAGTTAGCACTGCGATGTAGTGCCTTAGACCACTGCGCCACTCAGGAGACCTCTCTTATCCAGAGCGACTTACAGTTTATAGCTCATATTTATGAAGTTTCGGAATCCCAGAACTAAAATCTTACATAATTGCAGCAGATGCTCTGAAATTTTCTAGGAGGAGATTAGGGCTGGGCGTATTTTAAGTTATATCGGTATGGATTCGCATACCAGTATAGATTTTTACAATACCGTCTATAATTGTATTTTAAAGGTGCAATATGCAGAAATCTCTCCACCATTTGCTGGTTGCTAAAATTCTAATAGTTTGCCTATTTTCAATATGTGTGACAAAACAAGCGGTCATTGTGTAGACAATCATTGTACCATCTAAACCGCTGTGAAATACAGTATATTTTCCACAAACAAAAATATTGTGTTTTGAAGCTGGTGTACAAAACTGAAAGTAAAAGACACAAAAATGAAACTTAAGAACGGAAGCATAGAAATAGTGCACATTAAACAGATCTACCGCTTCTTAGACTTGCTTTCAATGATAATGATAGATCTATAACTCACATTTCTTTGTGAATTTGTTTGGGTCGCCCAAAAAGTTACATTGTAGCTTTAAGTGCTAAATAAATGAAAAGTTCTACAAATGATCTTACATCACTGTCAGTTTTGTCCTAGTTTGGTTCAGTATAAAACAATAAAAATGGAGAAAGCCCATTAAAACCACTTTATTTGTTGCCATCCTACAGTCATGCACTACTCAAAACAATTTTAGAACTTTTATTATTCAGTCCACAAGAGATTAGGAAGTTAAAGAGAATTGACCTGTGCTTCTCCACCCATACCTATAGTCTATTTAATTGAGACCATACACAGAGGCACACTTCATCTCACACACCCAATGTTGAGAGGAACTTGAAACAGCAAGAAGGATGAGTGTGTGAATAGTGCGACAGAAGCGCTTTTAATTCAATAGATTGTTTTAAAATAATCTGCAGGACTAAACAATATTTAATCCTGATCTTGTCTTGACCACCGGCTCCCGCCCGCAGCATTAAATATGCAGACCGCGCCACAATGACCTCTATGCAGCTCTTTACTGTACAACAGATGTAGTACAAAACCCTAACTTCACATTGCATTTGGGACTTTTGAATTTCAACCACAACACAAGCTGTTCCGCAGCAGTGACACTGTTCCGCAGGTGGTTCCCTGCCACCCTCTAGCATAGAGAGCTCTGTAGGCTCCATTAGACAGAGCACATCAGCTCATTCTGTCTCATTTGCAGCACACCATGCCTGCCCATTTATCATCTGACCCCTACCACTCTCTACCTTCAGGGCTGACTGCTGAAAAGTGTCTGTTTCCTCTAAAACAGTGGTCACCAACCGGTCGAGCACGATCCACTGGTCGATCTCCAAGGCATTCCTAGTCGATCACCAAACATTTCTGTAAAAAACCCAACGATCAGGTCTTGCATTCCAGTTTTTTATTTATTTGTTTTGCGCTGTTTGCGGTAGGTGCAATTGATTCAGTAGCCCTAGTGCCGGAATGGCAAAGTGTTCCATTTTTAACCATTTCATGTGTCTGAAAGTAGAACTCTGCCTACCTGACAGGCCCAGAGAGCAAATCAAGTGCACCTATAGGCCTACCGCTGGCCAATCTGATAGCTCAGATGACCCTGTCAAGCCAGACTATTAAAAGAAGCCTCAATGCACAGCAAAGTTGATGCTTTGAGATTTAAAAACGTTTAAAACCATGACTGGAGAGAGACTCAAAGAATACAGCGACGAGCTCATGTATAAGTTGTTGCCAGATCCAGTAAAAAAAATAAGCAAATTATTATGCTCACTTAGCTGTGGCTCACAAGTAGTACAACACATGATTTATTACTGTGGTCTGAGAATAACAACATTGGCAGGGCAATTCAAGCATAGCCAATATGCCGTGATAATGTATTGGGCCTATAGCCTACTGCACAAACCGCATTGCTACCGAACTGTTTTTAATTGGTTAATGTTAAAAAAAAGAATCTGAGCGGTAGATCTCGGCTTGCATTTTGACTCAAAGTCATCTTGACTCAGAAAAGGTGTGTGACCACTGCTCTTCAAAGATGGGACAAAACCACAGAGGTGCTCTCATTGTCTGTGCTTGTGAAGTGCTGAATAAGTAACAGTAGCTGAGGTCTGTCTTTTGTGTCAGAAGCGGTGATAAGCAGAATTGGTTTCCTCTCTTAACCCACAGGGAAGTAAAGTTTTGTTGAATACCTGCTTACGCTAGCTGTTGTACACAGAGATGGAATTACTCTCTTGATGAGCCTACATCTCTGTTCTTGTCACTTGGGTATTGTCATAGTTTTGAAGGATTTCCATACTTAGTGTGTTTCTCAAGGTAAAAATGTGCCCTTCAATTCACTATTCAAATAAGAAAATGGCTTGTTAAAAATAAAATAATGCGGTACAGAGCTCAATTTGGCTCTAGCTCCGCATTTTCTCAGGATCAAGCATAAATTGGCTTTAAGTTCCACTTACACTAACACACACCGTTGTTTTCAGCTCTGTTTGTCTTGAAGACTTTGGCCTTTACTATTATTAGAAAAGGGAGCACAGATGGGATGATTCTGAATAATTCATTGCATGTATATTATTTGGAATTGAAGGGGCTAAGTCACAGGCCAGTCTCTCAGTTACAGAATTGTGCCATGACCCTCTGTTGACAGTCTGAGGAGATGGGGAGGCCATTTGCATGAATTGTATCTCAGAAGGCAGTTTTCTGGTGTTTGGAGTGGGGGTTAATCATAAATAATTCAGTCTGAACAGTAGCTTTAGAATATAAAGCTGAGAGAGCGTTGATTTTAGGGGTTGCCATTTTATGTTTAGTCCACAAATCTTTAGGCTATTCCGTGGAGATGATGCCTTCTGCTGTCTGCTTTTTAACCTTAATAAACCAAAAATTCATCATATTGGATAAGGTTACATAAGGAGAAAGCAGGCAATTAATAAGTAGAGCTTGGACAATAAACCGAAAATGATTGACATCAACCATACTGATCACTTATCACAGGCATTTTGTTTATTACGATAAGTAGCCTATACTAGAGCAATGTAAAGTTCGAAATTAAATACGTTTGCGAATATGGGTGATTGTTAATGGGACAATTTATGGTTACAAATGGTAATGTATGTATGTATGTATGTAATATATATACAGTGGGGAAAAAAGGATTTAGTCAGCCACCAATTGTGCAAGTTTTCCCACTTAAAAAGATGAGAGAGGCCTGTAATTTTTATCATAGGTACACGTCAACTATGACAGACAAAATGAGGAAAAAAAATCCAGAAAATCACATTGTAGGATTTTTAATGAATTTATTTGCAAATTATGGTGGAAAATAAGAATTTGGTCAATAACAAAAGTTTCTCAATACTTTGTTATATACCCTTTGTTGGCAATGACACAGGTCAAACATTTTCTGTAAGTCTTCACAAGGTTTTCACACACTGTTGCTGGTATTTTGGCCCATTCCTCCATGCAGATCTCCTCTAGAGCAGTGATGTTTTGGGGCTGTCGCTGGGCAACACAGACTTTCAACTCCCTCCAAAGATTTTCTATGGGGTTGAGATCTGGAGACTGGCTAGGCCACTCCAGGACCTTGAAATGCTTCTTACGAAGCCACTCCTTCGTTGCCCGGGCGGTGTGTTTGGGATCATTGTCATGCTGAAAGACCCAGACACGTTTCATCTTCAATGCCCTTGCTGATGGAAGGAGGTTTTCACTGAAAATCTCACGATACATGGCCCAATTCATTCTTTCCTTTACACGGATCAGTCGTCCTGGTCCCTTTGCAGAAAAACAGCCCCAAAGCATGATGTTTCCACCCCCATGCTTCACAGTAGGTATGGTGTTCTTTGAATGCAACTCAGCATTCTTTGTCCTCCAAACACGATGAGTTGAGTTTTTACCAAAAAGTGATATTTTGGTTTCATCTGACCATATGACATTCTCCCAATCCACTTCTGGATCATCCAAATGCACTCTAGCAAACTTCAGACGGGCCTGGACATGTACTGGCTTAAGCAGGGGGACACGACTGGCACTGCAGGATTTGAGTCCCTGGCGGCGTAGTGTGTTACTGATGGTAGGCTTTGTTACTTTGGTCCCAGCTCTCTGCAGGTCATTCACTAGGTCCCCCTGTGTGGTTCTAGGACTTTTGCTCACCGTTCTTGTGATCATTTTGATCCCACAGGGTGAGATCTTGCGTGGAGTCCTAGATCGAGGGAGATTATCAGTGGTCTTGTGTGTCTTCCATTTCCTAATAATTGCTCCCACAGTTGATTTCTTCAAACCAAGCTGCTTACCTATTGCAGATTCAGTCTTCCCAGCCTGGTGCAGGTCTACAATGTTGTTTCTGGTGTCCTTTGACAGCTCTTTGGTCTTGGCCATAGTGGAGTTTGGAGTGTGACTGTTTGAGGTTGTGGACAGGTGTCTTTTATACTGATAACAAGTTCAAACAGGTGCCATTAATACAGGTAACGAGTGGAGGACAGAGGAGCCTCTTAAAGAAGAAGTTACAGGTCTGTGAGAGCCAGACATCTTGCTTGTTTGTAGGTGACCAAATACTTATTTTCCACCATAAATTCATAAAAAATCCTACAATGTGATTTTCTGGATATTTTTTTCTCAATTTGTCTGTCATAGTTGACGTGTACCTATGATGAAAATTACAGGCCTCTCTCATCTTTTTAAGTGGGAGAACTTGCACAATTGGTGGCTGACTAAATACTTTTTTTCCCCACTGTGTGTGTGTATATATATATATTACATACACACACACACACACACACACACACACACACACACACACGCAGTACCATTTGTAGCCATAAATTGTCCCATGTCACCATATTAGCAAACTTATTTAATATAGTACCAGTCAAAAGTTTGGACACACCTACTCATTCAAGGGTTTTTCTTTATTTTTACTACTTTCTACATTGTCAAGTAATAGTGAAGACATCAGAACTATGAAAAAACACATGGAATCATGTAATAACCAAAAAAAGTGTTAAACAAATCAAATATATATTTTAAATTTGAGATTCTTCAAAGTAGCCACCGTTTGCCTTGATGACAGCTTTGCACACTCTTGGCATTTTCTCAACCAGCTTCATGAGGTAGGAGTTCCCACCTATGCTGAGCACTTGTTGGCTGCTTTTCCTTCACTCTGCGGTCCAACTAATCCCAAACCAGTAGGTGTGTCCACATTTCCAGTAGATATTTCTTGTAGGGTAGGCCTAGACAACTGCAATGGATTTTCTGTGAAGTTGACCACGATGTTAGTGTTTGCAAGATGTGTGTCCTGTCACATTCCCATAGAAACGGTTGAAACCCCTCAAACAGATATTTTTTTCACTTCATAGCCAATGGAATATCTAAAAGCAAAGGCTTGCACAAGTGTGATAAGGGATGCAAAATGTGTTCTGTTCTAGCTGAAACACTGAGTATTACATTCCAGTTTGGCCAGATGGACACCTGTGCCTGCTAGCATTGTCTCTGACCATGGTGCTTATCCAGTGACCTTCCTCTGAAACACTAGATGTTGGCATTTTATCCTATTTAAGTTTGCTGTACACCTTCACAGTAATATAGTCGCGTAGCATACGGTGGGTAATTCTTTACTTTATCCTCCATGATGTTGAATAGTGCCCTACGGAATGCATCCCAGTGTTCTAGCTGATGCAAGTAAAGTACTATTGGAGTGACTTAGTTCTCCTCTGGTTGGCTAACCTTGACAATCCGAAAAACTAGATGTCTATCTATTTTTATTGTTTTGCTTATCAATGGAATATTCTATTTGCTTTCAGGTGGATAACCGGCCCAAATACTATGGGAGAGAGTAAGTTTAGCTTATTTCAATTTAGAATTTATATACAAAACTAGTCATTGCTGTAGTTGTTTATCCAGTCAGTATCAGTATTTTCAATGTTCTGTCTTCTCCCCAGGTACCATGGGATGATCTCCAGAGAGGAGGCTGACCAACTGCTGAGTGTGGCAGAGGGGAGTTACCTCATCAGGGAGAGCCAGAGGCAGCCTGGGACCTACACACTGGCCCTACGGTTAGACACACACAAACACACCTTTTCCACAGATAGACTTTCCAAACAGTGTGATGCGTTACATCTTTTGGTTAGTTTCAATTATTTTTAACACATTTTTATAGCTTTGTTATTTAACCTCAAAAAGTCTAAGCCGTTTGGTGGGGGGGTTCTACTAAGCTAACATATGGAATTGTTTTAAGATAATCATACCATGGAGCATTTAGCTATTTGATTTGGAATTGTTGGACCCCTTTAGGTACACTATATATACAAATGTATGTGGACACCCCTTCAAATTAGTGTATTCGGCTATTTCAGCCACACCTATTGTTGACGGGTGTATAAAATCCAACACACAGCCATGCAATCTCCTTAGACAAACATTGGCAGTAGAATGGCCTTACTGAAGAGCTCAGTGACTTTTAATGTGGCACCGTCATAGGATTCCACCGTTCCAACGAGTCAGTTCGCCAAATTTCTGCCCTGCTAGAGCTGCCCCGGTAATCTGTAAGTGCTGTTATTGTGAAGTGGAAACGTCTAGGAGCAACAACGGCTCAGCCACGAAGTGGTAGGCCACACACGCTCACAGAATGGGACCGGTGAGTGCTGAAGCGCGTAGCGCTTAAAAACCATCTTTCTTCAGTTGCAACACTCACTACCGAGTTCCAAACTGCCTCTGGAAGCAACGTCAGCACAAGAACTGTTCGTCGGGAGCTTCATGAAATGGGCTTCCATGGCCGAGCAACCCCACACAAGCCTAGGATCACCATGTGCAATGCCAAGCGTAGGCTGGAGTGCTGTAAAGCTTGCCGCCATTGGACTTTGGAGCAGTGGAAACACATTCTCTGGAGTGATGAATCACGCTTCGACATCTGGCAGTCTGATGGACGAATCTGTGTTTGGTGGATGCCAGGAGAATGCTACCCGAATTCATAGTGTCAACTGTATAGTTTGGTGGTGGAGGAATAATGGTCTGGGGCTGTTTTTCATGGTTTGGGCTAGGCCCCTTAGTTCCATTGAAGGGAAATCTTAACGCTACAGCATACAATGACATTCTAGACGATTCTGTGCTTCCAACTTTGTGAAAACATTTTGGGGAAGGCCCTTTCCTGTTGCAACATGACAATGCCCCCGTGCACGAACCGAGGTCCATACAGAAATGGTTTGTCGAGATCGGTGTGGAAGAACTTGACTGGCCTGCACAGAGCCCTGACCTCAATCCCATCGAACACCTTTGGGATGAATTGGAACTCCAGCTGCTAGCCAGGCCTAATCGCCCAAAATCAGTGTCCGACCTCACTAATGCTGTTGTGGCTGAATGGAAGCAAGCTCCCGCAGCAATGTTCCAACATCTAGTGGAAAGCATTCCCAGAAGAGTGGAGGCTGTTATAGCAGCAAAGGGGGGACCAACTCCATATTAATACCCATGATTTTGGAATGAGATGTTCAACAGGCATGTCCACATACTTCTGGCCATGTAGTGTATTAAAAAAAATATTTAAAACAATTATTTGATAAAATATTGAATAGCCCATAGAAATGAATTCAATTTCGCATTCAGTGACAATGGCAAAAAAGACTGCTCAGACTGTTACTGGGCTCATGTGAGTCTTGCACACATACTCGTGCTCTGTCTCGCTCTTTCTCACACACCACCTACATTTACAACCCATAAACAGGAAATTAAAACAACATCAAACTCCATAGATGACTTTAAAGCGCTCCCACACATTAACGTAATGTTCTTAATTTGGTCATCATTTTGGGAGGAAGAATCTTTCAGTTTCTGTCCTTCACTGATGTTATGAATCACCAGGAAAATAAACATTGAATGATGATATAGTGGAGTTTTCTAGTACAGAATGCTCTAAAAAGTGTGTTCTTCTTCATCTTGAAAGTTCAAATGTAATTCCAATGAAGGAACATGGGTTGTATGAATAGCATGGATAAGCTTCTCTCCGCTGTCAAGTGCTGTATTGCTTATGCATTGAGGTCTGACTAAATTGAATTATTTATCCAGATCACTTTCCTTCAAGCTGCTGTGACGGGAATTTCGATTTCTTGTATTTGAGGTCAGCCAAGTTGTGCTTCAAGTGTCAATCTGCCACTCTGCGCATTGCTCCTCTTATGTGTTTGCCTCTATACCATTTCTGCTCCGACTGTTCAGGTTCAGATGAAGGAGTTTCAGCCACAAAAAACTTAGCCTATATTGTGCAAGTCAAACCTGGAAAAACCTGACATGTTTCAGGCTGTCATTGCTAACCTTTGTCTAGAATGAATGTTAGAGAAATTGAGATGAGTATACAGTGGGGAAAAAAAGTATTTAGTCAGCCACCAATTGTGCAAGTTCTCCCACTTAAAAAGATGAGAGAGGCCTGTAATTTTCATCATAGGTACACGTCAACTATGACAGACAAACTGAGAAAAAAAAATCCAGAAAATCACATTGTATGATTTGTTATGAATTTATTTGCAAATTATGGTGGAAAATAAGTATTTGGTCACCTACAAACAAGCAAGATTTCTGGCTCTCACAGACCTGTAACTTCTTCTTTAAGAGGCTCCTCTGTCCTCCACTCGTTACCTGTATTAATGGCACCTGTTTGAACTTGTTATCAGTATAAAAAACACCTGTCCACAACCTCAAACAGTCACACTCCAAACTCCACTATGGCCAAGACCAAAGAGCTGTCAAAGGACACCAGAAACAAAATTGTAGACCTGCACCAGGCTGGGAAGACTGAATCTGCAATAGGTAAGCAGCTTGGTTTGAAGAAATCAACTGTGGGAGCAATTATTAGGAAATGGAAGACATACAAGACCACTGATAATCTCCCTCGATCTGGGGCTCTACGCAAGATCTCACCCCGTGGGGTCAAAATGATCACAAGAACGGTGAGCAAAAATCGCAGAACCACACGGGGGGACCTAGTGAATGACCTGCAGAGAGCTGGGACCAAAGTAACAAAGCCTACCATCAGTAACACACTATACCGCCAGGGACTCAAATCCTGCAGTGAAAGACGTGTCCCCCTGCTTAAGCCAGTACATGTCCAGGCCCGTCTGAAGTTTGCTAGAGTGCATTTGGATGATCCAGAAGAGGATTGGGAGAATGTCATATGGTCAGATGAAACCAAAATATAACTTTTTTGGTAAAAACTCAACTCGTCGTGTTTGGAGGACAAAGAATGCTGAGTTGCATCCAAAGAACACCATACCTACTGTGAAGCATGGGGGTGGAAACATCATGCTTTGGGGCTGTTTTTCTGCAAAGGGACCAGGATGACTGATCCGTGTAAAGGAAAGAATGAATGGGGCCATGTATCGTGAGATTTTGAGTGAAAACCTCCTTCCATCAGCAAGGGCATTGAAGATGAAACGTGGCTGGGTCTTTCAGCATGACAATGATCCCAAACACACCGCCCGGGCAACGAAGGAGTGGCTTCGTAAGAAGCATTTCAAGGTCCTGGAGTGGCCTAGCCAGTCTCCAGAACTCAACCCCATAGAAAATCTTTGGAGGGAGTTGAAAGTCTGTGTTGCCCAGCGACAGCCCCAAAACATCACTGCTCTAGAGGAGATCTGCATGGAGGAATGGGCCAAAATAACAGCAACAGTGTGTGAAAACCTTGTGAAGACTTACAGAAAACGTTTGACCTGTGTCATTGCCAACAAAGGGTATATAACAAAGTATTGAGAAACTTTTGTTATTGACCAAATACTTATTTTCCACCATAATTTGCAAATAAATTCATTAAAAATCCTACAATGTGATTTTCTGGATTTTTTTTTCTAATTTTGTCTGTCGTAGTTGACGTGTACCTATGATGAAAATTACAGGCCTCTCTCATCTTTTTAAGTGGGAGAACTTGCACAATTGGTGGCTGACTAAATACTTTTTTTCCCCACTGTACCTTCCTCTGTCGCAGATGTTAGCTTGGTAAATATAATGCACAGTGTATTCTCAGGTCTGGTCTCTGTCCTTGAAGCCAGTGAGAGTGCTGCCAAGTATTTTTTGTTTTTTTCATAATCCCCCAGTCTGAGGCTTCTCCTCTGGGATGACTGAGATTCGGAGATGGGGTAGTAGACCACGAGAGAGATTGGGAAAGGTACGCCCCTCTCTGAAAATACCTTTCTGTCCCATATCTCCTTTGGTCACGCTAAAGCAGATCAGCAGAGGTGATGAGTGTTTTCGGCTCTGATTTTGTGTTTTTACAAACTAGGGCAGCGTTTGAAATTCTCCTCACGTGAACATGCATTGTTTTCCAAACAAGCAATGAGGTTTTGAAATGCAAATAAACCGCATTGCTTCCCACTGGATATCTGCTTAAGTGTCTCACCCTCGCTGATTCTCTGCTATAATTGCTTTCCATAAATATAATCACCTTCTGTGAAAGGGTGGATGGTAAATGGTGTCCCACAATGGGCTGCCTTGGTTCTGAATTTGGAAAGGTTGTACTTTGGGTTAGGTAATGAACTTTGGGTCTGGTTAGTGTTGGAGTAAGGATTCTTAGCTAGTTAGTTTAGAATGTCTCCTGAGTTCTTTGTGCCGGTTTGTGTTTTTATTTTTACCCTGGAGCACTTTCTTCTCTTCGCCAAGCATCTCCCTTTATTTCCCATTGATAGATGAGGTTGAAATATTGGTCTCTGGCATCTACCCAATGATGAAGAATTCCTTGCATTGTTCTGGCTCATGTTGTGCACAGTGATGAGATTTGGTGTCCGTACACAGTGTATTTGTTGGCTCTTGCAGCCTGCACATCTGAGGCCTCTTTCCTGTTAGATGAGGATGTAAGAGTTTTAGCATTCACTTGCTGTATTGATCAGCTCTAATAAAGGTCTCCATTATTTATAACCACTAAGTGCGGCAAAGAAATTATTTGATCTAGCAGTCATTACTGGATATATAAACCTCTTAACGCTTTTGCAGGAATTATTTCATTTGGTTTTCTACTGATGTAGGGTACGAGGAAGCAGAGGCAGGCAAATGGTATTTTATTCCTTTAGGGTCGGCTCTTCTCTGATAGATGTGTGTATAATCATCCTAGGATTTTCCTTTTTTCACCTAGCTGTACGGCCTCGTCTCCTTATTCTCCCCGCCTGAGACAGGGTGTAAAAACACTCTCCTAACCATAGAAACTGATTCTCACTGATTTTGTTCCCCTTTTCCTCTTTCCCCCCCTCTATACTGGACGCAGCTTTGGAAATCAAACCAGGAACTTCCGCCTCTACCATGATGGGAAACACTTTGTCGGGGAGAAGCGCTTTGAATCCATCCACGACCTTGTGACAGATGGGCTGATCACGCTCTACATCGAGACCAAGGCAGCAGAGTACATCGCTAAGATGACCATCAACCCAATCTATGAGCACATTGGCTACACAACACTCAACAAGGAGCCCACGCTGAAGAAACACTTGCCCGTGTGCCAGGAGGTTCCCGATGGGCCTGCGCCACAGGGAGAGCGGGGTGACAAGGAGGAAGGGGTAAGGAACACTCTCACACTGTCCTGAAAATGTCAGCCTTTTACTGTACTAGAAAAGGAAACAAATGGAGCAGGTGCTGAAATAAATGCAATGTGAAAACCAGGCAGAAGTTAATGTTTTCCATGTCAAGTAATTTCAGCTCAACTATTCTAAAGTGCAGAAAGTTGGTAGCACTCATCTTGTTTCTCACCAAAAGAAAGTAGACAGAAAAATTGTTAGATGCATCCTGAGATCCGTTTTTAACACACTTCATACCATTGAACTGATCTTTGTCGTTTTGTTATTCATGGAACCTGGATTTGCTGGCATGTGGTTATGTGTTTATATGCGTGTGTGTATGTACAGTGCATTCGGAAAGTATTCAGACCCCTTGACTTCCACATTTTGTTACGTTACAGCCTAATTCTAAAATGGATTTTTTTTTAAACCATCCTCAATCTACACACGATACCCCATAATGACAAAGCAAAAACTGGTTTTTAGAAATACCTTATTTACGTAAGTATTGAGACCCTTTGCTATGAGACTCGAAATTGAGCTCAGGTTCACCCTGTTTCCATCGATCATCCTTGATATTTCTACAACTTGATTGGAGTCCACCTGTGGTAAATTCAATTGATTGGACATGATTTGGAAAGGCACACACCTGTCTATATAAGGTCCCACAGTTGACAGTGCATGTCAGAGCAAAAACCCAGAGACAGGATTGTGTCGAGGCACAGATCTGGGGAAGGGTACCAAAACATTTCTGCAGCATTGAAGGTCCCCAGGAACCTGCTCCAGAGCGCTCAGGACCTCAGACTGGGGCGACGTTTTACCTTCCAACAGGACAACAAACCTAAGCACGCAGCCAAGACAACGCAGGAGTGGCTTCGGGACAAGTCTCTGAATGTCTTTGAGTGGCCCAGCCAGAGCCTGGACTTGAACCCGATCGAATATCTCTGGAGAGACCTGAAAATAGCAGTGTAGCGACGCTCCCCATCCAACCTGGCAGAGCTTGAGAGGATCTGCAGAGAAGAATGGGAGAAACTCCCCAAATACAGGTGTGCCAAGCTTGTAGTGTCATACCCAAGAAGGCTCGAGGCTGTAATCGATGCCAAAGGTGCTTCAACATAGTAATTCACGAATGTCATGGATATATTTGAACTAGTGGATATATGGAGGCTTATATATCCTGACCTGGTGGTCGGACCATCAAATAATTGACATATATTACTCTTATAGAATTTCCACATAGGCGAGGATATTGGACATTTAATCAAAGCATATTGGATGATAACTTGTTTTTAACTAGGACAGAAGAATTTACAACTGACTCTGTGATTGCCAACAAGGGTTTTGCCACCAAGTACTAAGTCATGTTTTGCAGAGGGGTCAAATACTTATTTCCCTCATTAAAATGCAAATCAATTTATAACATTTTTAACATGCGTTTTTCTGGATTTTTTTGTTGTTATTCTGTCTCTCACTGTTCAATTCAACCTACCATTAAAATTATAGACTGATCATGTCTTTGTCAGTGGGCAAACGTACAAAATCAGCAGGGGATCAAATACTTTTTTCCCTCACTGTAGGTACAGCAGATCCCCTTATTGTATGGGACACTTTTAAATGTGCCTTTAGAGGCCATGCAATTCAGTACTCATCTCTGAAACAAAAATAATTTAGGTCAAAAGACTCCATATTAACAAAGGAAATGTAAGGACTAACAGTACAGATGGATATCAATAAAAACTTTACCATAGAGGTGCAGAATAAGTTAGAGGAAAACCCAAAAAGAAATGGAGTAACTTATTCAAGAAAGATCAATTTGAAATACATTATAAAAAAATTAAGCAAACTGGATGGAATATGGGGAAAAATGCACCAAATTATTTTTTACATCTTGAACATAGAAATGCTACCAAAAATAATTTACTGAAACTTGTTACAAAGGATGAAGTCACCCATGATTCACCAAACAATATTTTGAAAGAGGAAGTAAAGTACTTTTTTGCATATGTTTTCGTTTCAGTCTCCTCCATCTCCACTAACTGAAGCTAATTGTATGGATTTTTTTCTATTAATATGGTACAATTAAAGACTTGTGAAGGCCAAATTACAGAGGAAAAACTTATTGATGCAATTAAAGCCTTTAAGTCCGGGAAAACTCCAGGGCTGGATGGCATACCAGTGGAGGTATACCAAACCTTTTGTGATATACTCAGAGGACCGTTATTAGCATGTTTTAACCACTCTTATAATATAAATGGTAGATTATCAGACACTCAACAAGGTCTGATTTCATGATTACTGAAACAGGATCCAAGTCGTAAATATGAAGATCCAGTCCATTCAAAAAATTGGAGGCCTCTTACACTTCAGTGTTGTGATGCAAAAATTCACATAGAATTGAAAAGGTATTGTCGGATATTATTAATCCTAATCAGACAGGTTTTTTACATGGACGATACATTGGAGATAATATAAGACAAGTACTGGAAACAACTATGAAAAATCTGGGAAACCAGGCCTGGTATTCATAGCTGACTTTGAAAAGGCATTTGGTAAAGTACGACTAGAGTTTATATATAAATGCCTGGAATATTTCAATTTTGGAGAATATTCAAGTTATGTATAGTAACCCTAGGTGTAAAACAGTAAATAGTGGTTACTTCTCAAAAAGTTTTAAACTGTCGAGGAGTAAAACAAGGTTCTCCACAGTCGGCATATCTATTTATTATTGCCATCGAAATGTTAGCTGTTAAAATCAGATCCAACAATAATACCAAGAGGTTAAAAATCCATGGCTTAAAAACAAAGGTGTCATTGTACACGGATTATTCTTTTAAATTGTGGATTTTCTTTTAAATCCACAATTTGGATCCCTCCACAGCCTCATGGAGGATCTAGATACATTTTCTAACCTCTCTGGATTACAACCACATTATGATAAATGTACTATATTACCTATTGGATCACTAAAAAACTACAACTTTTACATTACCGTGTAGTTTACCAATAAAATGTTCTGACGGTGATGTGGACATACCCGGTATACATATCCCGAAATAAAGAAATTATCTCACTCAATACATTTTTATAGAAAGTTAGCAAAAATAGATACGATCTTGCTACCATGGGAAGGAAAATAGCAGTCTATTTGTGGAAAGATCACCCTGACTAACACTCTAGTCATATCCCAGTTTACCTATTTGCTTATGGTCTTGCCTACACCTAGCGACCTGTTTTATAAAATATATCTGCAAAAAAATATTCCATTTTATTTGGTATGGCAAGCCAGACAATATGCATTCGGAGGGCAGAAATTATTAAATATTAAACCATTAGACCTCTCACTAAAGGCGTCAGTCATACAAAAGTTATACTTAAATCCGAACTGGTTCTCTATCAAATTAGTAAGAATGTCTCACCCCATGTTCAAGAATGGCTTTTTTCCGTTTATTCAGATCATCTCCAAAATTTCGCTATTTTTAAAACAAGCCATAGAAAGTTGGTTGCAATTTCAGTTTAATTCACCAGAAAAGACAGAACAAATAATACAACAAATATTGTGGTTTAAACTAAAATATACAAATTAATTAAAGAAACTATACTTTTTGATAATGTTTTTAAATGGTATTTTTGTAAATGGTATCATAAATAGGACTGGTGGATTTATGTCACACATGCAGCTAATAAAAATATATGGAAATGTCTACTCTACCCAAAGTTACAACCAACTAATAGCAGCATTACCACAAAAATGGAAGAGGCAAGTGGAAGGGGGAAAAAGTAAGGAACTTTTCTGTCGGCCCTGCGTTAAAGACTAAAATTGGTTAAAGGAAATTGTGATGAATAAAAAAGGTATACCAGTTTCGTTTAAGGACCAACAAATGTACAGCTGTGCCATATAGATTGCAAAATAGTTGAAGAGATTTTCAATATACCGATTCCATGGCACATGGTTTATGAACTGATACATAAAACGACGCCGGATTCAAAACTTTTATTATACAAAATTCTTGCAACCAGTAGAATTATATACACTACCAGTCAAAAGTTTAGACACACCACCTCGTTTTTACTTTGTAGAATAATAGTGAAGACATCAAAACTATAACATAACACATATGGAATCATGTAGTAACCACAAAAGTGTTAAACAAATCAAAATAGTCACCCTTTGCCTTGATGACAGCTTTGCACACTCTTGGCATTCTCTCAACCAGCTTCATGAGGTAGTCACCTGGAATGCATTTCAATTAACACGTGTGCCTTAATAAAAGTTAATTTGTGGAATTTATTTCCTTAATGCATTTGAGCCAATCAGTTGTGTTGTGACAAGGTAGGAGTGGTTTACAGAAGATGGCCCTATTTGGTAAAAGACCAAGTCCATATTATGGCAAGAAAACGATAGTCCATCATTACTTTAAGACATGAAGGTCAGTCAATACGGAAGATTTCAAGAACTTTGAAAGTTTCTTCAAGTGCAGTTGCAACAACCATCAAGCGCTATGATGAAACTGGCGGACCACCACAGGAATGGAAGACCCAGAGTTACCTCTGCTGCAGAGGATAAGTTGCAGAGGATATTAGAGTTACCAGCCTTAGAAATTGCAGCCCAAATAAATGCTTCAGAGTTCAAGTCACAGACACATCTCAACATCAACTGTTCAGAGGGGACTGTGTGAATCAGGCCTTCATGGTCGAATTGCTGCAAAGAAACCACTACTAAAGGACACCAATAAGAAGAGACCTGCTTGGGCCAAGAAACACGAGCAATGGACATTAGACCGTTGGAAGTTTGTCCTTTGGTCTGGAGTCCAAATTTGAGATTTTTGGTTCCAACCGCCATGTCTTCGTGAGACGCAATGTGGGTGAACGGATGAACATGGAGGAGGAGATGTGATGGTGTGGGGGTGCTTTGTTGGTGACACTGTCTGTGATTTATTTAGAATTCAAGGCACACTTAACCAGCATGGCTACCACAGCATTCTGCAGCGATACGTCATCCCATCTTGTTTGGGCTTAGTGGGACTATCATT